TTGCCCATGGTCACACCCTTTCCTGTGTGTGGCCTGCATCAGATGATCAGTGTGAGAGTGTGAAGACCTGAGCCCTATTCTCCAGTTTTGGACAGTTCTGCAAGGACGTTTCAGTACCAAACATCCCCATGGGATGATATGAAACTTTGTGTGACTATGTCACATCTCAGCTTTTCCTTCTGTGCAGTCTTACTTTCTTCATTTTCTCCCAGGTCCTAAGAGGAACTGCCCCCACCCCACCTCCACCCCCAATAAGCTTCCTGCTAGGAAATTCAGTCTCAGAGTCTTTTTCCTGGGAGACATGACCTGTAACACACCATATTTGTTCATTTCTAAATTCTTACTGCACTACAGCTGGAATTACGTCAAATCTCATCTATTTTTACTTCCTCAAGCCTAGGCGAAAACCATGTTACCATATTAAGAATAGTGGGTCTAATGTAGAAATTGAATCCTGCTATTAAGACTTAGTGCAACTGTTTGGATAACAGCACATTCAAGTCTGGATTCCACACAACTTTTCACAACCTATACCTGTAACTTCACCCCCAGCCCATCGCTCTCCCTTACCTTCTGCTCCTGGTGTCACTCAGATACTTCATTGTGAAACTCACAGAAACAGTGACCTCTGGTTGCAGAACAGAAAGAGAAGAATGGCACCCTGAGCTACTTTGGAAATGATTTGAAGGAGGGGGGCTCTCATGCCTCTTTACTGAGGTACGATTTTGAAATTCACTTGTTTCTGTGATTTCTTGAGTCCCTTTTCTCCAAAGGTTCAGAGCTCAAGAGAAGTTTTAGGCATCCTTCTTTTTCTATTCTTAGGCCTCCCTCTGTCAAAGTACTGTAATTAGGAGTATGCGTCATATACATCCCACTTCCTGTTTTATTTTATTTTATTTATGTATTTGTTTACTTAGGAAACCAGATACTTTCAGGAAGGTGAAATAAATAGGGCCGGTCACAAACTCAGTTGTGGAATAAAGTTTGTCCATGATGCACCTCTTCCCTTTTGTGGTACACTGTCCCTTTGTCCTTTCTCTTCTCCCAACTCTAGGGCCTCCCCAGCCCACCGCCAGCCTCCTATCCGTCCCTCTCCACAGCACCGTCTCCTCCTTTAGCCAGCTTTCCTGGTTCTGCTGTTCTCTGTCCACAACCCAAAATCAGCAGGACGGCTTCCACGCTGCTCGTTGTCATTGTAACTGAAACTCCCCTGTTCCGTGGTCTGTCACCCAAGGCCAGCTTTCTCTCTTAGCAGGCAGTTTTGCCTCTCACCCTTGTAGTTGATTAGTACATATTTAAATGAATGAATGAATATATGAAAAAATGAACTTCTCCCTCAGAATATACCACCTAGCACCCGTCCTATCCCTGCACAGCCAAGGTATGTGTGTATTAAAGGGGGCCTCATGAAGACAGTGTGCCTTCCTTTCTAGCATGACCAAACTCGGGGAGTTGGGAGAGAAGTCGCATGACAGGTGGGTGTTAGAGTGTTGTGTTCACCATGTGTTTCTGAAGCTTTGACACCTGGGGCCTTGCTGACCCCGGAGGGATGGCTCCTCCCAGAGCTAGCCGATTTCCAGAGATAGTGAACAACTCACTTACTAGAGTTTCTTTCATATGCAAACCAACAAGTCCATAATTCATACCCCAACCGCCTCCTTTACTGAGCTCGCACAGGTCTCTCACACTCTGAGACACAATCAGTTTGCCCTAATGACCCCAGGGCCAGGTTCCAGGCAACTAGCGACAGCTGCTATGGCCCAGAGCCTACTGAAGTTATTCCAACCAGCCTACCCTGCTTACCTTTTCTTGAATGTTCCTTCCGGTTAAAACCTCAATGAAGGCTCTTGCCCACATTTTCCCCGTCTCCTTTGTCTCTTGACCAGTCCTGGTGCTTCGCCATGTGGCCCTTTGTGGCATAGTGTGTTCCCTCCTCTTGGGAACTATGAGTAATGAACTATCTTTTCAATGGCCGTCATCCCTGAGCTGTTGGCCTCACCATACCTGGATAATAACAAAGCTTACATTTTAAAAGTTATTGCAACTGCGATTCCAATCTCAAGTGCGATGCCTCTCATGCTAATCCTTTTAAGACCCTGAAGGAAGCCTCTCCTTTGCCATAAGTTCTGACAATTGGAGAAGTGACCACTACCCGGAGAAGGTAGGGTCACATTAAGTGCAAAAAATAAAAGTAATGACAAACTTTACTTAATAGGTCTGATCACCCTGGGATCTCAAAAAACCCTACTATTATTTAATAATAATGAATTCTTATTATTACTTAAAAAAACTGTTCAGAGTCAGTCTCCCTCTGCTGAGCCTTTATGCTTCTCCAAGTTAATAGAGTTTATTCAGAGTATTACTATGGTGCATATTAGTTACAAGACATGCTTAAATTCTGACCGTGTTAGGAAACCCAACTCTCTCACGGCTCTCTTCTATTCCAGAAAAACATAGAGCATGTTTGTATCAAAGTTGCTCAGTTTTCTTTAGACATCTCCGCAGATGAGAACTTAATTGGTCATGGAGCGATCTTTTCTCAATATAGTAATCAACAGTGTACCTTTAAAATACATCATCTGTTCAAAGTGTTTAAGCAGGAGATAGATTTGCTCAGACTACCGTCCTCCATCACCATTGCCTTTCCTCAGTAAAAAAAACCTATGAATTATTATTGTATGATTCTCAGTGAACTAGTGTCCTCAGATAGGAAGTGGTTTTTCCAAGGTCACAGAGCCACAGACACCAGAGAGGTGAGATGCAAACACAGACCTTCCCGGCATTCCTCTGACTCACGCCCTGTTCCCACTCCTTCCTGCTATCATAGTCTTCCAAACCTTCCAACAGCTCTTACAAAGTTCTATTGCATAATATCACCACTTCCTTCATACTCTAAGGAAAAAATATGGCAGCCTTTGCAGCTAGGGGCAATGAATGACTCCACAATGCGGAATAACTGTGATATATCTAGATATTTCAACAATAATGTAGCCTTGGAGAAATAAATGTAGATAGACTCTTAGGAAGATATTATCCAAAGACAGAGAAGCTCTAAAAATTAGAGAAGTTTATAATACGAAGTCTGATCTTAAGTGAATGAATGGGAACTTTTAGAGATCTCTTCTTTCTAAAGAAGTTCCATTCTTTAGTCATAAGTTCCCTACAAAGAACAGGAAGATAGGCAAAAAAATATCTTTCAGTTTTGGAGAAGCATAAACTGAGAAGGAATAATTAACTACCATAAAGATTTTTTAAAAGCATACAAAATACAATGTATAATAAAACTGGTATTGAATATCATCAAATAGCAAAATACACTGTAAAAATATAGAGAACAAACCAGTGGTTACCATTGGGGAGGTGGGAGGGGCAACATGGGGGTGGGGGGGTAAGACACAGACTGTTGGTTGTAAGACAGGCTCAAGGATGTATTGTACATCACAGAGAATATAGCCTCTATCTGGTAATAACTGCAAATGGAAAGTAACCTTTAAAAATTGTATAAAAATGAAAAAGTTAATTTAAAAAAACCCTTAAAAATATATTAAGACCTATGTGGTCGGTATTGACCATAGTTACTGGGAGGAAGACTTCAAGTAAAAGAATTGAAAAATTTACCCAATATTGAACAAAATGTAGCTCATTGCAATCTATGTTTTAGCATTTACCAAATTCCCACGATAGTTTGGAATCCTGTTATTTTAAGCAAGAAAGAGGGAAAGCTGAGAAAGAGGGAAGAGAGAAAAATAGTAAAGTAAATCAAATGACTTGGAAATTAAAAACAAAAAAAGGTGAAAGGGTTGGATTGTGGGTTTGGAGAAGGGATAAGCAGGCTTAAGAACAACCAGCAAGGAGTTAAAGGTACCATTTAGAGATGGTGACTGGCAGCTGCTATGAATTTCCATGGCCTATAGGTAAGAAGAAAGCTTGTGTGGCTAGCGGACCTCAGCTGGATATCAGGAAGAATTTCCTGACTGTAAATGTCAAGAGGTCTGGTTTGTAGCATCAAAGGGAGGCTTCTGGGATGTGCCTATCCCAGGAATATTTTTCAGCCTCAAGCAGGAGACTGTCTGGGTGGTTTTCAGAAGCCCTGGGGATGGACGGGATGCTCTCCCAGAATCCACGGTCTCCTGTTGCCGAGGGGTGTGCCGGACACAGCTGCTTTCACAGAGTCCATGCCAGCAGCTGACTCCCCGCTCAGAGGCTGTGGAGTTTTCCCCACAGAAAGGAACAACCATGCCTTTCAGTCTCTGTTCCCCACTTGGCCCAGTCCTTAGGTATACACTGTGGTTTTTCAGCTCTTCAGCACTTACGCTCTTTCCTTTGGGGCCAAGGGGCCTCCTGGGAACAATGCAGCATCTGTGTGTTGACAGTAACAGCCTGTGGGCCAGAGACACTCAGCCAAACTCTCCCTCCGTCCCGTGTGAGCTGGACTGCACACCTCACCTGCCATAATCCACACTTAGCTGCAGCCCGCCCCGGGGCCAGGAGACCCCCTCCTCCTACCCATCCCCCAACCTTTTACCTAGTTTAGTTTCTAGCTCCTCTGCCTTGTTGATACCAATCCTCCTGCGGGATGGTCTCTGCCACCTCCCATCCCACCCACAGAGGGAACAATAACACATTAGTGGCTCATGGCGTGACCCTAAACAGTGGGCACCGAAGGGTGAGGTCCATACTGCTGAGTTGGGCAGTGGGGTATTTACAAGAGGGTTGGTCTGCAAAGAGATGCCAGTCTTTTTTCCTATAACATTATTGCCTTTTATTTATTATGTGGCTGTTGATTTATATGGGGAGTTAGGAACGCTAAACAAGCAGAGACATGGTCTGTTTCTGCTGAGTTCAGAGACTGGAAAATATCATTTGATTTCTGGCAAAAAGACAATTCCAGAAAGGTGTTTAAAACCATCTTTTTGTCCTTGGCCCTGAGTCAGAGAGGGACATGCTATGCAGGAAGCAGAGTCTCCACCTTTGGGCAACCCTACAAGAGGCTGTGTGTAAGTCCTGTGCAGTATATGAATTTAGTGTTTAATGACAGATCAGAACATTCTCCTTCCAGGAATGTTGCCCCTTCATAGTATCCCAGTATTTCTCTTAAAGCTTCCACCCAGTGGCATGTGTTACAGTGTATGGGCCTACTTAGTGTGAATGCATAAGAGAAAATTGGATGGGTACTGAGAGGGTATAGAAAATTAAAAAACAAACAAACAAACAAAACCCCAAGGAGAGTAAATGAGATTTTTAAGGAACAAATTGGAGCTATGTATGTGTGTGTGTGTGTGTGTGTGTAAAACCTGGTAATCCTGTTGTTTAGTGTCTCTGAGGTCTGAGTTAATCCTTTTTTTGACAGAAAGTAGATGCATGGTAGTACGCAGAAGAACCAGGGAGAAATTAAAGTTCCACCTTTGAAGTCTTTTCTTCTGATTCATGATTTTCTCTCTGAAAAACATCATGACACAGATATTTAGATTTGGAGTCCACTCTTGTTTTTGAGCTCTGAGATTAGCAAATTGGGCTGTTTAATTCCTCCTGAAAGTCCTACATCCATCTGTAATTTGTAGCTCATGAACTCCTTATGTGGAATTTGACTTGTTTCCCATTGATACAATACACAGAAGCATAAAATCTAAAATTCAGCTCCTTTGAAGCTTCAAGACCTGTCCAAAAATGCTTCTTTAGTTCTGGTCCCATGACTATATCCTAAAAAGCATCCCAACTCTGACCACCATATTTTCCTATCCTTTTACTCCTAACCAAATCCAGTGGAGGCCAAAGAATTTTTATTCAACAGGGTATTAAAGGGACAGAGAAAGGAGGACAAACTCAACTTGCTTTACCTGTCGTCTCTCACTTACCAGCCTCTTCCCCTTCAGGAATCCATCGCAGAAGTTTTGCACGTGCTCAACTGACACTTCTGTTATTGGCAGTGTGTCCCATACATCATCCAGGGTCTGGTAAATCGCCAAAGCAGGCAGCTGGGAATTCTTTAGTTTGAAAAATGATATCACCTTCCTATTTTCCTTCACACCACTGTCCACCAGAACGAAAAGAATCTGCAGTTGGAGAAGTTTAAAAGAGAAAGAGCTCACTGAGGTCCTGGGGAGAAAGAGACACCTTGTAATTGTTTCAGTTTATACTGATTGACTTCATGGTCTGTGCCACACAATTTCAGTCTCAACTGAATTTCTTCTTATTTTTCATCGCTTTGGTTTAGTAACCCTTTGATCAAGTTTATTTAACATAGAATTAGAGGAGACTTTAGTGAGTAGCTAAGGGAGAAAGTATGACCTAATGGCTAAAAGGAGAGAATTCATTCTCAGTGTTGCCTCTAGTATTTTCCAGCTGTGTGACTTCAGGCACATTACTCAGCCTCTCTGAGACTTAGTGTTCTTATTAGATAAATGGGCTTTTGTTGGGGGAGACTAAACGAGAGAATGGATTTAATATTTCTGGTACAATTTTTAGCATATAGTAAGTGATTGATAACTGTTAACTATTTTATATTATTAAATCAAACTTTCTACCCAGGTTGGAAACCTTCTTGATAATATTCTAATTAGAGGATCATCTACATTTGGTAACCCTGACAGCCTCCAGTGTTAGGGAAGCAACCACTTAAAGGCTGGCTTATTTTATTACCAGACAGCTGTCATCACTGAACAGGCTTCTAGTTCAATTCAGAAGCCTTAGAGTGGTTGAAGTTTTACTATTTCAGTGATATCAAGCAGACGTACATAAAGTAGAGACGGGAAAGAAAGAAATATTTCTTATCCAGTAGGCACCATGTACGTGAGAAATAAGCCCTGAGTTCTAAAACTTTGAGAGACAATGGCAAGGAGCAGGGAAACTGCAATTAATAGATGATTTTTATTTTCAGTATCTTTGGGTCTCTATTTTCTCTCCACCAATCAATACTTAAAAAAAGAAACAGACTTACTGCTAATGGAAGATATGATTAGATACATCTTTACTAGTGTAAAACATGTCTTGGGTTTTAAAGCAGAGTAATGTGATGTACGCTGCCCCACTTCTCACTTTATTACCTCCTAACTGTACTTATCTTCCCTATTTATCTCACCTCCCTGGCCCCATCCTCCTCTTTCTAGTGTCCTGGTGCTGAGTTTGCCAAAGGGTGTCTCCCAGTCCAGACTTACCTTCCCCTGGAAGAGCTTAGCTGCCTCCTGGTATTTGTACAAGCTTTCTTCATACTCTGGGGATCCCTTGTCCATCACCAGTAGAAGATGAATCTGAATCTTACTATTAAACAGGCCAATTACCGTCTGGCAAGTTGAAATGTATTGTAGTGGGATGAAAGAGGGAAAGAGGTAAAAAAAACATCAATGGCAGCCCAGTGAATAGGTTCCGTGGAACGTACATGAGAGCTGTCCATCCACAACACAGATGGCAACTGGCCTCCGCGATGGCTCTTAACACATCTCACCCTCTGGTTTGCATGCAACTGGGTGGATCCCTTCTCCCCACACTGAACAGGGCTGAGCTGAGTAACCAAAGGGATACTGCAGTAATGATGGAGAGTGGCTTCCAAGGTTAGGTCACAGGAGACAAAGTAGCTCTGCCTTGCTCTTTCTTGTACCACTGAACTCTCTCGTATTAGGTACTCAAGCAGCCCTATGTGCACATTCACACAGCAAGGAGCTAAGGCCCCCTGCTAACAGCCAGCACTGACTGAGCCATCTTGGAAGCAGATCTTCCAGCCCCCTCAAAACTTTAGCTGACTGCCTCCCTGACCAATGCTTGCAACCTTACAAGGGCCCCCAGATCAGAAGCGCCAAGCCCCAGCCACCCCCAAATAGTTGACCCACAGAAACTGTGTGAGATCATCCACTATCACTGTTTTCAGCTGTTAAATTCTGGAGTGAGCTGTTACGCATCAGCAGGCAACAAAGACACCAGGTAACATTTTAGTCACTTTTTTCAACTCCTATTCATGTTGGAAGAACATCCAGATGCAGTTAAAATGTGGCCTTTAACTGCATGTTAATAGTGCATAATTTTGAGTGCTTAACTGTGTGCTGGGCGTTTTCGGGGCCTCCCATATACTAGCTAATTTAATCCCCAAAGCCCCAGTTTTATGAAAACATGAAGAAACCGAGGCACAAAATCTCCTAAATTTCCATAAGTGGTGAGCTGGGATCCACAGCAGGCAGTGTGGCGCCGGAGTCCATGCTCTTAACCATCAGGACATACTGCCTCATTCATAGCTGATTGCAAAACCCCTTCTAAAGCAAATCAACCCAGAGCCTGGTTGAATCAGTCTACCGCAGGTCAGCAAAAAGGGAAGCTCTTCAGGAGACCAGAAGCGTTGGCCCCTTTTGGCTGATTAGAGGTGATGGAGGGGAGGGGACAGCTGTGACCCGAGGGAGGAGGGAAGAGGGAGCCTGAATTAGGGCACTGCTCCCTTCATTAGTGCTGCAAGTGTCTCTTACTTTAAACAAATCCCATTCCTTTTCACCTCTCCCTTCTAAGTACAGAAAGCATTGCTATAAAACTAACATGTGCGTAGGAAGAGAGATTATGGTGGGTTAACGATACTTTGGGCAGAGTCCCCGGATGGTGGAAGGGGAGTGACTAGGCAGGATCCTTCCAGAAGCCACGCACTACTCCTAGCAATTTTCCAGCTCTACTGGCCAACATGTAGGCAAGGAGGGTCCCCTAACTTTCCCCCTGGAGTTTCAAACCAGTTTTTAGATTTTAAATTTGGGAGATTGGATGACCCTGCTACTTAAATTTAGAGCATGCATCTACCTTTCTATTGCAGAGTGGGAGGATAAATCTTGGGAAGAGTCAAGATATCAAAGCTAAAGACTCAAAAGATATAGTTGTCTTAGCAGAAGGGACTGGACACAGCAGAAGTGATCAGTTTAATCCTGAAACGCAAAGTAGGATTTTCACCTTGAAGCCAAGTACTGAGTGTCTGTGTCAAAAGCGCACAGGAGGCCGACTACATGGCTGTGAATTTCTGCCCAGTTGCTTCTGGCACAAACCTCTGCACCAGCAACAGCCGAGGAATAACTGTAGGAGTGTGGGCAGGTCTCCGAAAGAGAAAAGCTCTGCTTTGGGGAACTGAAAAATTCACAATAAAAGTTCAATTGGCTTCTCTAAAGAAATTCTGACCTAATTTCTTCTTGATATGATTTGCCTTCACTACTAATGTGAAACTTAACAAAATGTGTCATTGTTCTGTAAGATAAGAGATGGACCAGGCATCAGAATTCAGGAAGGCTAGTCCCTGCCTCTGCCCTAGTTACCTGCAGAATTCTAGGACTCGAGCCATCAACTCAGGGACCAGGACCGTAAGGTCATCTTTTCTGATCCCACGTGCACTCCTGGCAGCTCTATATACACAATGACCAGAATGATGACGATGACCTAGGGAAAAAACGCCTTTTTAATTATTGCTGCCAACACTCCTGGGGGGTGTGTGTTTGGAATCTTAGCACAAGTGGAAATGGAGTCACCACTCCACGGAGACAAACATGATGTGAGAGGTGGACAGGAATTTAGTCAACAGGAAAAGGGGTGTTTTCTGTTGAAGGATGTGTGGGCCAATGGAAAAACCTCAGGACTCAGAAAGACCAGTCCAGAAAAAAGCAGAGACAAGTGGCTAGGGCTGTCTCTGGAGCTCAAATTACTAGTCAGGCTGTGAGGAAGTGACATCACTTTTCTGAATTCCCGTTTCCTCTCCAGTAAAACGGAAATGGACAACATGAGCTAATGTATCACCAGCTAAATTTTCTGCCTTAAATGATGCCTTTTCTACTTCTGCAAAATCTTGAATGTCATTTGGAATTTGAAAGTTCTCTATAAAATGGGCATAATACTTTCCTCTCTTCTGCTTCGAAAGAATCACCGTGAGTATTAAATGAGGAAATGGTGTGAAACGGCTTTGTAAGTTCTAATCACCGTGACATGCATGTAAAGTACTGTTATTGGAGAATGCATAGCATTACTGAGCTGATGTTAACACTATCATTCTATGATTCATGCTGGGAAAAGGAAAGGGCAGGACATATAAAGTAATCCTGTAAGTTGCAGAGTGTTAGAAGGTCAGAAGATGAGCGGGTGGACCAGCACCTTTAACCCAGGTTCCAGGCAGCATACAACCCCTGAGGAAGACAAACCCAGAGAGAAACCTGAGACCCTGTGAGGGTCTGGGCATGCGCAGGTGGTACCAGACAGGAGGCAGGCAGAGAAAAGCATAAAAACTTTCTTAGAAATTTTACATTGCGGCGACACCCAAGTGTGTGATCAGTTGGCTTTGTGTTTAAACATTCCTTTTGTCTATCAATTTGCTTTTATTGTGTTTTACAAAAGTATTGGTCACCGATGCTTTAGAGAAAAGAATGGACCTCCAGCATCTTTGCAACTGCAGAGAGCTTGCAATCTTGTTTGAGAAGCATGGTCTAGAATGTTGCTGGGACTGGAATTGGCTTCACCGAACCCCCTCAGGCAGGAAAACTCAGCAGTTTTTAATTAGTCACCTGAACTTTGCCCTCCGGCTCTCTTTCTTCCTAGTCATGTGATATGTCACTTACCTTTTCTGTTTCTTTTTTTGTTGGGGAGAGACAAGTCTATCACTCTTAAGAGTTGCAGTAAGGATGTCAACATAAACAAACAGTTGTTTAATTAATGGTGGTTACTCTTATTAGTGGCCAAAGGACTGGAACTCCTGCAGGAAAGCATGTCTGCTATGAAGGCCATGACCCTCCCTGACATGGGGACTTCAGGATCTGGAGACAGGGGCTATTTACCATAGGGTTGTACTCTGTCACCAAGTGGAGGTTGTTGCTCTCAATGAAACGGCTTAATTTGGGGAGATCCATGCTTTCAATGTCCTTACTCTTTAAGTCCAGTTGTTCGTTATCCACCTGGTAACACAAAAAGGGTGAAGTTGTCACTGTTCTGTCCTTATTCCTTGATAAATGTTCCTGGACTATTTAGCACACGTCAGGCACTAACTGAAGTTCCAAAGACAGAAAGGTAAATAGGAAATGTTTCCTGCCCTCGAGGAACACACTGTCCTGCGGGACAGAGAAGTAAACAGAGACGTCCCACAGAAAGTGGTAGGTGTCATCCCGGGGGAATCACAGGCCCACAGGTACCCCGGGAAGAGAGGAAACGCTTCCAGGAAGAGGCAGCTCCCGAAAAGCGGCTGAGGCTTGGTCAGGTGAATGAGGATGGCGGTGGGAGTTCTAAATAAAGAACAAAAAGGCGAAATGACGAGGCTGCCCTGGGTTAGAAGCTGCAGCTGGTTTAGCTTGACCATTGAGTAGATGTTAAGTGTGGGCAGGAGAGAGGGGCAGCGGGCTAGCAGAGCAAAGAGCCTGGAAGCCACGGTCAAGAGGTTAAACTCTACCCTGAGGTCAAGGATCACCAGTATGCATTACAACATGCATACTTCACTGGATCAGATTAAAGTTCTATTTATGTAAAACACACCTACAGAGAAAAGCATAAAACAAAATACAGACCTCAGTATATTACCACAGAGCAAACAACTGTGGCACCACCACTCAGGAAATGCCAGAATTTCTGAAGCCCTCTGGGGTCCCTTCTAATCCATCATCGTTTTTTTTTTTTTTGGCCAAAGGTGATCATGAGCCTACATTTATGTTGACCGCTTTCATCCTTTCCTTCATTGCTTTACCACTTAAAAACGCATCTCTTAATATTACAGTTTAGTCTCGTCTTTTATTAAACATGACATAAATGGAGACAAACTACATTTTCTGTGTGTGTGGCTGATCTCTTTTGCTCAAAGGTTTGTGTGTGAGAGTCATCCGCGTTGTTGCATTTAGCTACAGTTTGTTCATTTCCCCTGCTGTGTGATACCCTGTTGTGTAACAGTGCAAAACAGCTAGTCATTTTACTGTGGATGGATATTTAGGTTTTCCCAGTTTCTGGTTATTAAGATAATGCTGCAGTGAACACTCTTGTTCACGTGTCTCGGTACTCAGGCCTCTGCCCCTGTTGAGCATGTATCCAGGACTGGGAGTTTTGATTTTTGATAATATATATATGTATCATATATGTGTGTAGGTGTATGTAATATGTACATGCATGTGTATATTCATATATGATCGTCCGGGTGCAATTTCAGGGACTGAGATGACCTGGACCTGTGCGGCAGCCCTGGGGATGGCTGATCGGCTTACGGTGCATCCTTAATTTTCGGGTATTGCTCTTCAGGGTTCGAAGTGAAAAAGGGGGTTTAACTAGATTTACCTCTTACTTCCTCTTGTGGGCCCTGGACTCCGACATTTATGTTTGTGGTTCCTTGATCTCAAACATGCTAATAAACCTCTCAACCTCTCTGCTACTTCTTCTAGGACCGGCTAAGCAGTCCCAATAAAGGGTTCATCTTTTCAGGTTTCCATTTTATTATAGATCTTAGTCTAGATGTTTTTCCTTCTCTTGCTAGTTCTCCAATACCTTTTTTTAAATAATTTTTTTGCTTATCTTAAAAATAAATATGTATAACTTTAGTGGAAGGGGTTGTCTAGTTACCTGGTCTGTCATTCCAGGTTTGCATTTTAGAACTACCTTTCCACGATACTCAGATATGATAGAGATAGGACATCATGCTGCCAAACACTGTTCCCAGAGTTTCCCATTCCCCACTTCTATCTCTTCAAGCCCATAAGGACATAATACAATATTTCCGTCACCATAGCAACTAGGCCAACAGATAAAATGATCAGGGCTGGCTCCTGAACAATTCTGCTTCCTAAAATAATTTGGATCACTTTAGAGACCCATGGACCACCAATCCTTGAACACCTTCTCATCCCCTTTCCCTTACATCTGCTATCTCATATGCGTCCTACCCAGTCAGATCTTGCCCCGGATCACAGCCATCATTTTACCCCCAAGATACTTTCTCCCAGTCTACCTAGCAAAGTCAGAGGTAAATCTCATTTAAGTTTTTGCAGGAGGGAATTCAGGCAGAGGTAAATTATAGCCACTAAACAGTAAGAATCCAAGATTGCTCAACATTGTCATCCCCATGGAAACTTTCTCTTCCTTTGTTCAGGATGGTCTCTCATTGGGTTAGTTAAAGGCAATATGAATCTCCAAGAAGCCCAGTGCCCTCTTTATGGTTAATTTTATTAATTCTGAATAGATCTCGTTATATCTGGGTCTACCTCATAATCCATTTGCGTTGAATTATGTGTTGAGTGCTTGCTGTATGCTAGGCACTGAGGCACAGAAGTGCTGACACTCAGATGGCAATTTAATCACTTTATTTTATGACGGTTTTTCACAACTCAAACTTATAAAATATGCCAAAGCTGAGATACAGAAAATATTTGTAATTCAGAAAAAGCATTTTGGAGAAAAAAATTCCTCAAAACCACAGGATGTTTTAAAATGTGAACTCCCTTTGCGTATTTCATTGTTTTAAAATTCACACAGTTGGAGTAGAAAGCTTGGGGCAGAAATATGAAAGGAGGAGAAAAAGTCTTCCTCCATGGGGTCCTTGCCCTCCCTGCTCCCATCCCCGTCCTGCGGTCAGTAGGGTGAGGACAGATGAGAAGCCAGCACAGGGGAGCTTTAAAGCTGCTTAGGGCCTGCTTTGCCACCTGGCATGTGTCCTTTAGAAGGCTTTGCGAATTGTGCAATCATCAAAACCATCATTACAGTCACAATCAGGGTCCTTTCGATATTTAAGATGTCTGAATACTTGCTGATTATTTTTCTAGAAGTTTGAAGGCCTGGTGCCTGTGCCGCAGCTGACCGAGCTGTGCTCCGGGCCAGAAACTCCTCCCTTTCTCTTCCCTTTTCCAGGCAGTCCCTCCTGTTTCCCAGAACAGGGATAACAGGAAACGCCAGCTACTCCAGGTGTTTCTGGACTTAAGGAATGCAGTATATTGGAGGCAGAGGATGGTGAGCAGTGATAACATTCTCTAAGAGGCAAAGAGCTTTGATAAAAACCACCCTCCTGAAGCCTCTCCACTTTGCTGTGCTTTTTTGAACCAGAGATGCCTGATTATTTCACTATTTCTTAAACCAATAAAAATCTGGAACGTTCATGTGTAGGGTTCCTGGAAACAACATTTGAACAGGAAATCTCCCTTCTGTAAAGGGATCTATTTGCATAAGGCACTGGAAAGAAAGTCCAGCCCCGGAACCAAGAGTGGGGGAAAAATTATGTATTTTTCCAGTTTGGGGAAAGAATTTTTCTTGAAAAATCATATTCCTTTTCTCCCCAAGAAAAGAGGCACCAGAAGAAAAACAGAAACCATAAGCCAGAAGGGCTGCTACCTTACAGTGTAATTTTGAGGTTCCCCAAGAGTGTCTGATGTGGAGTGTTTTATGTTTCAGACACTGTATCATACCAATGGATTTACTCACTCATTCCTTTTCTGTTTATTAGAATTTCAGCAGTGTTCCTTTGAATTCCAATAGGTTTCTCTAATGAACAACCCAGCTCTTCCTAAAGCGTATTAAAGTTGTCCTAGTTTACGCCACAGTTGCAATATTAAATTTCTTGGATGACGCTGAGAAATTATTTGTTAAACAAATGCCCTGATGTCTGTGGGTTTGTTTTTATAAGCTGCTCAGCATATCATATATTTGGTAAATATCTACTTTAGAAAAATATTTTAAAATTTGTACTTCTTGAGTTTCTTACCAGCTTATTTGCATGCACTGGGTCCTTCTGATTCTCTTGGCTTGGCAAGGTGCATTTCTCATAGCAAGTATCCAATGAAAAATTGTGAAAGGAATGAACGAGCGTCTCTCCTGTGTTTCCATTACAATCCCACCGGGTCAAAATTAGGCTACTTATATTTCTTAAACTGGAAGTGATTGAGAATACTCAAAACTGGGTAGATATTCAAATAATATCTGAAGTGCCATTTTAGGACAGGCTCATGGTTTGCTGAGCCCAGAATCACATCTCTGTTAGGGCAACAGTGAGAATCCTACTGAGAGCATGGAGGGCCTTCCTACTGTCACTGTCACAGCAGACAGGCTGTGTCCTCAAACAGATTGTCATACCCAACCTCCTAGTGCTCCACTTTGGTTAAATGTTTCCCGATCACATTTATCTAGTTGGTTTGCACTGTTTTGGAGAGGATTTGCTGTCTTCTTGCTCCAACATAACTGTCAACTCAGTGTATCCTATCATATTTCTACTTATTATTTCAACTTATCTTGAAATATGTCCAAATTGTGAAATTTCCTTGCCAAAATTTGTAATGCCTAGATTAAATCTTGAGACATAATCCTAGGGTTTGATTAACTAGTGCCAGGGAGATAGAGAAATGATTTAGGAGAAAGTGTGTATGTTTTTTTAAAGGCTTTAGAATGAGAGACATATGAGTAGACAGAATCTAGGAGTGAAAACAGGTTTTCTTCAGGGTCAAGTACTATAGAAAGTCACTTAAGTGTAGTAGAAATGGTGTGCTCTGGAGCTGGCAATGCTGGGTATGAATCAAATGTCTGTTACTCTGTAGTTGTGAGACTCTGGGCAACTGAATGTATCTTATGGAACTTTGGTTTCCTTATTGATAACACAGGGATCATTATTTCATCAGATTCTTATGAGAATTAACTGGTAGAATATTGGAAAACTTGACACAGTTCCTATCATCAATTTGGCACAAAAACAAACAGAAGAAATTATAGCTCTCAGATGAAAGGAGGTACCAGAAAATTTGCAACTGAGTCACGTCTCTCAGTGGAAAAAAAAAAAAACCCAAATAAACAGTCTTAGTTGATACTCTTCTTTCAAAAAAACAAAGTTTATTCCAAACTCCTGACAAATAAACCTATGAAAATTTGGACTGAATTTTTTTTGAAGTGTAAACTGAGAAAAAAATGTTTATCTGAAAGCTGTCACTGCATAAGCTGGACCTCTCCCAGACCTGCCAGTGGAGTGGGGCAGGAACCCGTGTGTGCTTGGTTTTGGTGTCCACAGAGGCCCCAAGAGTTCCTCCAGAGTAGGTCTGTGACTAGTGGGAAACAGAAAACAGATTCTAAAGGAGAGCGAGCAGCCCTGGGAAGTCATCAACAGGGCTTTGTGAAGAACGACTTGTAAACAAAGTTAACTCGCCCATCAGAGGTTGTAAAGCCTGTAGAAGACATTGGAAGCAGCAGCATTTGTTTTTCTTGCCCCCACGTGCATGTAGGTAGTACTAAGACTTTTAAATCAGGCTTTCATAAGATCTATAAACAAACTGGGGAGGAGGTTCTTGTGGACCTGTAGCTAACTAGAATTTTTGTATTGAAAGGTTGCTACAAATAGTTCAACAGCGCCATGAAAGGCATCAGTGTATCCTTCTTTATCTTTCTTACCAAAGCTTTTCAAAGAAGAATTTGACTTAATCCTATCTCACAATGCATTTCACCTGCCACTGCTGTCCAGCTGGGGGAAGACTTACTGAAGGGACCCATGCACCTTCAGACATATTTTGGAGGTGAGTCAGTTCCTCACTTTCTGAGTGTCTTCTGGGTACCAGAGACATATTGGACACCTTTGGAATACAGAGATGAATACGTTATGGTTCCCGCCCATGGTCTAGTAGAGTTAAAGGTGAGACAGACACAGAAATACACAACATGTACTACAAAGAGGTGAATGAAAACAGGCATGGATGTGTAGAGGAATAGTCAGGCCAATTTGGAGACTCCAGGGAGGGTGCTTGAAGGTAGGGTGCTTGAACTGATTCACTGGAATAAGAGGAGTCAGCTAGCTGAGGCTAAGTGAGAGGGGTCCTGAGCGTGTTGGCATTTTAGGCAGAGACAGCCTGGGTGGAATGGTGGAACTGCATTATCACATGGTGTATAGTTGGGTATTGAGAGGGTAGAGCTAGAAAAGGGAATGGAAAAACAGGTAGTAAGTGGCCAGGTCATAAAACCTACTTGTCTAAATATCTAGATTTTTTTCTTGTAAGAAATGGTGACTATTGAAGACTTTCTAAGAAGGCGGTGTCATGGTCAAATTCCCATTTTAAACCCATCATTGTGACACCAGTCTAGGGACTGGATAAGAGCTAGTAAAGGGAGATGTATTAAGAAGGTATTAAAAACGTTTATGCCAAAGATGCTAAGAGTCTAAGTGAGGAGTGAGACAGGAGGAGGGGAGGAGAATGTGGGCTCAGTAAGGTAGGAGGTGCAACTGGTAAAGTTAGAGACTGAACGAACACAGCCATTCAAGAAAATTGTGCTTTAGAGGGAGGAACAGCATCCAGCAGGTCCAGACGACAAACAGCTTTGGCTAAGTTAAGACTGTAGTCTTAGCTTCCGAAGGTATTCAAATAGTTCCATCCAGCAAACATTTGAATCATGAGAGTGTTCCAGGCTAGACTAAAACACTCCAAACCCTAACAAACATAGTCTGGGTGAGTTTGATGTTTCGATGTAGTTTCATCGATTGTGGCAGATGGACCACTCGGGTGAGGGGTGTGGATGAGTGGGGAAGTTATGGACGTGGGGGCAGGAGAGCCATGGGGAGTCTCTGTTATCTCTCTCTCAATTTTGCTCTGAACCTAAAACCTCTCTATGTGAATAAAGTCTTTTTTAAAAAGTAAAAAATGGTTCATTTACATATTTATTTATTCAACAGACAAGGAGTACCTGCTGCGTGGCAGGCACTTTTAAATGCTCGGTGGTTGAAGGAGTGAGCAAATCAGTCTTTGCTTCCAGGGAGCATGGGTTCTATAACCTCGACTGAGAAGAGCCTTGAGTCAGACAGCAGTGTGGATGGAGGAAGAGAGGGTCCCAAGGAGATTAAAGGAGGAGATGGATCAGGAAAAGCAGGCTCCGGGTCAAGGGAAGACACAATATTAAAGAGAAAAGAGTAGCCAATGATGTCAAATATGGCGGAGACCTAAAATAAGACCTAAACAGTGTACATTGGATTGGAAATCTGGAAGCCACACCGACCTGGATGAAAGCAGACTTGATGGAGTGATACATAAACTAGATAGGACTATATTTAAGGGCTTAAGGAAGGTTGGAGGCACTGAATATAAAATCCATTTAAAAGAGGTTTGGATGAGAAGTATAAGAGATAGACAGGATGGAGGTTAGAGAGGGAAGGACATTGAGTCCAGAAATCTTAAAACTTTAACTTTCGCTCAGTTTCCCCTTTTAAGTGGATCCTGGTCATCTTCACCTTGATATTCTACCAATAATACAAACTCAAAGCCAACTTAAGCATCAGAAATCCCTATTTCTGTTATGCCCTCACTCTTCCTAGGTCCCCTGGCTTTAAACTTTGCCTCCTTTTTGTAATTTTGATATCTAATCCTTGCAGGACCTGCCTTTTCCTCACTTTCTACCAAAGACCCTTGGTTGATGATCTGTATATTTTGTCAGCCTAACAAAAGTTTTCTCTATGCTTGTCTTTTTGCCTAAGAATCCATCCTAATCATTGTTGCCAAAATAATCTTGCAAAAACACGTTTCTGTCATGTTATTCCCCGGATCTGAAGTCCTGAGGGGCTGTCCAGTGCCAACAAACTGAAGTGCAAACCCATTGAGCTGGTATTCAAATTTCTCTACAATGTGGATCCAATAAACTTCTCTGTCATGTTCATTTGCGTAAAACATGTTCTCTGAGATCCAGTCAAGTTGGCCTGAACACTGTTTCCTAAGTTTAATTTTCTCTCCCAACTTTGGCCATAAATTCTTCTCTATTTTGTTCAAGTTTTTTCTTTTTTTTTAAATCCCAGTTCGGTTTGTGTCCTCCATAATTATTATTATTTTTTTGGTCATAATTCTTACCCTGCTTTTATCATTTGAACCCTTGTAATATTTTATCTGTAGTGATGCTCTTTGTGTTATAGATACTTGTATATTATGTTTACAATCTCTGCTACATTTTAAGATCTATGAGCAGGGAGACTTTACTCAGTGTGTTTTTATTATCAATATCTTGCAGAGGGCACACCGTGGTTGTTTAACACAGGTTCGATACATGTCAGTGAACTCTCAAAGACATAAAAATATAAAATTTTAGAGCTCAGGATGACCTTACAGATGATATGGTCAAATCCTTTTATTTTAGAGATGAGAGAACTGAAGCCAAGAAATGGTCAGTGACCTGCTCATGTCGCATGGCTGGTCAGAGACAAAATAGGGCTATAAAGCTCATCTCCTAGCCTCTTTCCATGTCATGACAACATTGTCATCACCACGGTCCTCAACTCTGGTGTCACCATTCATGCTGAACACCGAGACTCCTTTCTGGTCTCACAAGTTTGTGTGTGCACGACTTAAGGTAAAACTGGGAGAAGATCGGAGCTGCCCACCAGACTTACCAGACGAAAGAGGGAAATGACGCTGCCAGTGACGTTGTAGTGGGCTAGAACCTCCGGGGCAGTGCTGATTCCAAATGACACGTCTTGGAAATTTTGCACTGTACTGTGGAATATGGATACTGCTGGTACTTCTAAATCCTAAAAGAAGAGGGGGAAAAAAACCCCCACAGAGGTTATTTTTGGAGGAGAGAGATGTAGAAACAGACTAGGGCAAAGAAATATACTCACTCATATCAGAAATCATAGTGTCCAGTCAGACAAATCGACCTCTAAAAATGTGGGCTAAATCTGTGGCAACGTTGTTGAATTTTCCAGGCTGGGCGGGTTAATAGGTAACTACAAAATTGTGGCTAATCCTGGGACTCCTGTCTGGCTTTACCATAGAACGTTCAGCTTATTAGTAGCTGAGAGGGGACTCAAAATCATAGAGACCTGCAGAGTTGGGCTGCCCTGTCACTGATATACCAAAAGAAGGCAAATATTTGGGGAGTAATTTGTAGAGGAAAGAAGAAATGCAAAAATAAGAAATATGTGCTGTCAAAAAGACCAAAAAAAGAAAAAATATATATAAGAAGTTTAAGTAGAAGGTTTAGCAACAAAGGCTTGTGGAGGATGTGGGCAAATAGTTCTCGTTGCACTGGTCTTGAGCCATGAAGACACGACTCATGCATTGTTCCAGCTCTAGAACCCAGGCCTGCAGGAGGGAGCAGGGAAGCCTCTTCTGAGTGTTGACAGCAGCCCTTCTATAGTGAGGTGGTCTTATCTCCCTGCTGTCACAGACCTTGCCCACAGCAGCTCCAGGCAGTATACACAAGTGTTTCTGTATTCTTCCCGGACATCTCTCTGGCTGGGGGAGGAGATTTGCAGAGAGAAAAGATCTCGGTTAGCCTTGCATCTGGGGTCAAGCAGAGGGAGTTGGCGCCTTGATCATTACAAGGATGTGTGGAAATCATTCGAGGGTATGAACAGCTGTTAATCAGGGCTTCCTCTTTTTTGTTCGGCTCCCTAAAATGCAATTGCTCACGGATCAAATAACGACACCTGGTGGCCACTTAAGTTATTGCACCCTCCTCCAGCTCCACTTTCTCACCACTCCGTCCCTGCGGCTGCTTTTGTCTACAGCTCAGATCTCTCATCACTGAAAAATTTGCTCCTCCTCATCTTCCTTCTCCACTTACATCTCGCCCAGGCTATTTTCATCTGTGTACACAGAATAGACAGGGTGATGGTGAGTTGGAATTAATGAATGGAAGCAGACAAGAAGGTCTGCAAGGAGAGAGTAGGGGCTTGATCGGCTGTGAGGATCACCAGATGTTACCTCCAAGAAAAAGGGAAATGCTGGAATGATGCCCTCTCATTACGGCCGCTTTTATTAGCCAGACGGTCAGTCTGGAAGACGGAGGCGAACACCTTCTGTATACAACATTTCAGAGCAAACAAAGAGAAAGAAGAACGAGGGACTACCTACTTAGTGAGGAGCTTCAGACTGGAGGAAGCTGTTGACTAATGTGTTGCCTGGATATTGGGAGTTGAGTTTACTCTGACCCACGCCTCAGGAATTCAGATGCTGACTGAAGCTTCAAAGCATCTGTGGATGGGGAGACCCAGCCAGCAGCGTGAGAACTCTTGAAGCAAATGTAAGAGAAACATAGTTCAGAGACTGGCAATGTCTAGAAGCTGAGAGCCCTTGATTGACAAGTTAAAGGCCGACTCTGTGCCCTTTGGCTTCTGAAGCAGTGTCCTCTGGCCAGCAGGGGACAAACGTGGCTCCCTGCAGGTAGGATGTTTCTGGTTCTTTGGAGGAGTGGCAGGTGGGGTGTCTGGACAAACCTGGAAGAAGCCTATGACAGCCACCTCAGCGGCAGCGATGAATTCCATGGCAGCTGGGACATCTGTGAGCTGCACGGGTTTCTGGGAAGCACTGGAACCATCTAGACAGAGACAGAGGAGGGTGGGGGAGAGTCACAGGGAAGTAGGAGGTTTGGGGGTGCTGAGTAGAGAAGCAGCTCTAAATAATGAGAGCACCTCTACTTTTTCTCTCTAAACTAAGGACAAAGAGATTGAGGGGTGCAGCTACCATTCCAAGGCTTTACCTTTTGGCTAACGTGTGGAGGGGGACCCCACATGATAGCCTATTTCTGAAGGCTAACGCCGGACCTCCCTCTTCTCCACCAGGCCAGGCAGGTCTTTATCCAGATTTCCTGGAAAGTTTCCTAGGTTTGGAGGAGGAGTACCCAGAATGCGACCAAGTTCCCTTCCCTTCTCCTGACAGCTCCTTCTCCCTACGGTCACCGAAGCACTCTTTTCTTTTACCTGCAGGTTCCTGGCCTTCTGCGGCAGCTTCTGGGGACAGCTGGCACGTGAAGAGAAAAACCAGAAACAGGCATCTGGCCTGGGCAGCCTCCATTGTCCTGCTCCTGCTCCTTCTCCTGCTCCTGCTCCTGCCCTGGACCTTGCAGGTTTGGGATGCAGACACAGGGTAGCCCACTCTGTAGTTAAATGACTGTGGTGTTTCTAGTGCTCTGGGAACTTCACAGCTGGCTCCACGGGGACCTTCAACTTCTGAGATAAGAGACCGAGCTCAGTGACGGGGCCTCAGAACAAAACCAACCAGGAGAAAGTCGGGTCAGTTCATTTAAATAAAACAAAATCTTCTATGCCAGGTATTGACCTGCGGACCTGTGATCTGATCCGCCTCTCCCAGCTTAGATTGTTAGTGTGAGACGTGGACAAATAAACAGGCCATTTAAATATAGAATGGAAAGGGGTAAAACATTGGGAAACTGCTATGAGAGGCTGCTCTGGGAGGACAGGCTGAGGACATTTGAGACAATGATGGAGTCCAGAGAAGCCTTTCTTCCTGCAGCGGCTGCCCAAGCAGAGTCCTGGGTAAACAGAATTTTGCCAGGCACCAAAGGCGGAAAGGGAGTTTCATGCAAAGAGCTGAAGCCCAGAGATGCAAATGTAGCGTGTAAGAGAATGATTAGTAATTGAATATTACCAAAAACGGGACTGATAAGTCCAGGCAGAAAGGCATGCGGGGGCCAGACTGCCGGGGGCCTTGTATACTAAGTGTAGGAGCTTCAATTTTATTTTGTTTGATGGGAATCCATTGAGAGATCTTAAGCACCAGAGAAACAATGCTTGATCTGACTCAAGTGTCTGTGGAAATCTGAGAGATCCTCATAGGCAGAGGGACAGAGAAGTCTCAAGCTGAGGAGAAACTTCCAGATGATAATACTCTAAAATAAAACAAATTGAGACTTTCTCCCATTCCTGTTCTGAAAGCTCACTGCCCATCGCACTGGAACAGGGCGGTCAAACTGCCCCCAATGAGGTTAATGCGTCCCTCTGCCCCACCTTCTCTGAGCAAACTCATGAATGGGAACCTTCCAGTTACCATACTTGTTTGAAGGAAGAGAGCAAAGAAATGAGGGTCTCAGTCGGATCATACAACTGTTTTATTCTTAGTCTCTTATGCTGCTTACAGTGTCTCCTGGAAAAGAACCACCCTCCGTCGGCAAGGAGTTTGACCTGGGACCTTCACTGAGCCAGCAGCAATGAGGGAGGAGCCCAGGGATGGCAGTGAGCTACCGGAACCCAAGGCAGAAGGACTGTTAGTGCTAGTTTGCCCATTTCCTGGTCTCTAGTTGCTCGAATGGGAATAAAGTAGGGAAATATTAAATGATGGTTTATTGGGAGGGAGAACTTGGTCTGGTCGTGGGAGGGGATCAGAAGGGTGGGGCAGGATTAAAGCCTGGATTTTAAGCATCTTGTGCCGAGGACCACTGTGGGAGACACTGTGGGAGACACTGAGGGAGAGGATGGAGCAATAAGAGAAGGAGAGGGGCGTGCTGGAGAAGGGACCCAGCTGTGATCAGGGAGGAGGGACGGCGGTGAGAGGGTGAGAGGGGACCCCGAGAGGGTTCTGGCAGGTGGCAAGGGCAGGGAAGGGACGGGCAGAGGCACTCATTCTGTCCACTCCTTCTTAATGGACAGGTTCCACTCCCAGGTGAGGTGGTCATGCTTGTCATCGTCCGTGAAGAAGGACTTGTTGTGGTAAGTGCCTCGGGCCAGCATGCCCTTGGGCGCCTCCTCAGTAGGAGTCAGAAACTCATACTCTTCGGGCCGAGGTCCATAGCTGCCAACCATGAACGTTGCTTTATCCACTGGGAAGAAAGAAAAGGTCATTAGGGTGAGAGTCTGATAGAGGGAAAACAAACACTGCGAACTGGAGAATTTGAGCAAAGCTCACAGTGACCAAAGCCGAAAGCAGTGGTTTCCAAGGCTGGCTAAACATTAGACTTACCTGGGGCAACTTTTTTTTTCCTTAAAAACAGTAAAAAAAAAAAATCGGAGTGCCTTTAATAATACAGGTTCCTTTGACCCACTCCCAGAGACTGCAGTTAGTAATCTGCTGTGGATCCCAAGAATCAGTGTCTTTAAAACACATCACAGATGATTCTGAGTGTCAGGGAAGTTAGGGAGTCAGTGCCCTAAATCACTGGGGATCAAGACTTGTTTTATGGTGAAGTAGCAGATTACACAATAAAAAAAAATATAAATCCCAGCTAGTCAAAAGATACAAACTTCCAGTTATAAATGGTAAATCCTGGGGACGTGATGGACAGCATGGTAACGTTAGTTAATAATACTCTATTGCGTATTTGAATGTTGCTAAGAATCATTCTTAAAAGTTCTCACTGCAAGAAAAAATAATTGTAACTATGTGTGGTGATGGGTGTTGACGAAACTTATTATGGTCATCACTTTGCAATATATACATATACCAAATCATTATGTTGCATGCCTAAAACTAAAACAATGTTATATGTCAATGATATCTCAATTAAAAAAGTCTCAAACTAGTTGAGACCTGAGTTCTGGCCTTAAGTCTGCAACTACCTAACATTTTGCAGGGGCAGGGGTGGGCAGCTCTATTTCTTTTCTATATAATGAACTTCAAGGATCTTCTGTTTACAAACTGTCATTCTACAAACGTATCAGTTGGAGAAGACAGAGTAACAGCTGGTGATCAGAATGAACAGAATTCATGGATGGAATAATTAGATGAAAAGGGAAAATCAATAATTTGATTAGAAAAAATAGTGAAGAACGGGACACTAAGCATGTGCTCTACCACTGAGCTATACCCTATACCCTCCCCCTAAAAGTTGCTAAGAACTTGAAGGTTAAGGTCAGTGAGAGGCAGAGTTTGGGACAGTGGGAAGTGTGGCTTCCTTACCTTTCACCCCAGTCCGGTAGGTGTGCTGAACATATTTCAGGCCTGACACAATATCCTTGTTCACCTGTAGGTGGGACAGATCCAAGAAATTTAGATGAAAGAGGGCCTTTCATTTTCCATCATCTTTCATGCTGAGCCTACCTAGCTGAGTTTTCTCTGAGGGCAGAAGGACTGAAGATTTAGTTCAGAAGAAGTTAATATTATCATTCAGCAGGGTGATGAGGCAGAGACTGGAGAGAGGAGGTCACAAGATTCAGTGTTGCCAATCTGGTTTTAATCATCAAAATACTGTGATTTTGGGTTTGGGGGAAAGGGAGGTTAATTAAAACATCTTCTCAATGCTCTTCACTCTTGTCTCCTTCCTCAGTGGTCCAAAGAATGGTCTGGGGCTCCCCTTCCCTGTTACTACTGCCAGAAGACCGTCCTTGTCTCAGGAAATGTTACACAGGTACCAATGGAAACTGCTATGTAAGTACCTAAAACTCCTAACCTCAGACACGATCCACCTAGCACACGAAAAACAAACCGGGAGCAAAGCCATAATGGAAACTCAGGTCTGGAAGACGGTTTTGCCTGTAGCATGACCGTGATTGGAGCCTAGAGATGAGGAGATGGGTCTCACGAAAACCTTCCCTCCTCGTGTAAATAATGGGTGAAATTCACCGTGTCTGGCAAGTATTTTGGATGGCTGTCATTTTCAGACGTTGTCTGGGACCTTGTCACTTTGCCAAATCTTTCAAAGAAAATTCACTAAAGCAGAATGAAAATACAGACAGCCCAAAGACTTTGTTTTTCCATGAATCATTTAACCTAGAATTGAACTGGGTTGTCTGTTAATTTTATTCAGTGGCCATGTTTATACAAGCAAATTAAAGTGGACATGGCACCAGTAGCTGGGCGGCTTGGTTAATTGTTCACGGATACAAGAATTAAAGCATCTTCAAAGAGTTTCCCCCAACAGTATCTAGGGCTCCCCCTGTTTTTTGGACAGAATAATGAAAGCAACCTGTCAGTGCTGCTTTTGTTGTGTTGGCAGTGAGGTAGCAGTGAATACCGCCAGCTTAAGTTCCAGACTGCCACTCAGAAAAATCTGTATTATAAACCTATCAAAAGCAGACAAAAGCTGAAAACAGCTTCACTGAAGACACTGTGATAAAATAAAACCCTAACTTTCCGATTCCTTCAACTCCCGCGTGTGGCTCATAGGAATTGGGAAAGTGAATGCATCTTTCTAGAAGTTTCTAAGATGGTCCCTTGGGCCTAATAGGAGTGTGATCTGGTGGGGAAAAGACCAAAAAACAGGAATGGTGGTGGAGTAGTAATAAGGACTTCAAAACAGAGAGACTCCTGTTTTTCTACTGTTCCATAGAGGGTGTATTTAATATAAATATGTTTGAGGTAGACAAAAAAATATATGAATATTCCTAGTTATTCCCTTTGCCTGCCTGCACACGCCTCCTGAGAGCTGTGGATGTCAGATACACTACAGAAGGAAGAGGAGGACAAGCTAAAAGAACCATCCCGGGATTTGGAGAGTGTTGCTAAGTTTGAGGGGAGGCAGAGAAGAACATCAATTAAGAGAGAGAATGAAGGAGGGCTCTAGGATGAGCACAAACTTTCTTGGACATTTTTCAGGTTATATCATTTTCATTTACATCAGTAAAGATTTAACTGCTTTTCAACTACATCTTCTCAGTTGTGAACTGGTGTTTCTTCTTCTGTCCATGCTGGGACAGGCCATAGGGTGGTCCAACTTTATGATCTTTCCTCATCAGAGTCAAGGCCAAACCTCTAAAGTGGGTGGGGCTTGCAAGCTCCTGCCTGGGCCCTCCTCCATCACCTCAGTGTGGAGCCCTGGCGACCAAGGGACCCACACCTCGGCCTTCCCACCCAGGGCAGAAGCCCAGGCTCCAGACCTTTCCTTCTCAGCTTAGTCACATCAAATTTTCCCTGTCATGTTTCATTTACCAAACACTGCCTGATAAACTTGACCAATGAAGGGAGTAGCATTCATGATGAAAACCTGGACTGATGTGGAACCCGTCTGAGGCACGTTGGGACACCATGCCTTAGAAACTCTCAGGGGCTTTAGTAATAAATCCAGGGAACAAGCTAGTGAACCATAGCTCAGTGCCGATTATAGGGTAGGCATCGACAAATATTTTCAGAAGGAAATTATTTTGAGGCATATTTGTATGTGGTGGTGAAACATTGTCCGTGGACCCTGAATCATATCCTGTGCCTCGGGGGCAGGAGGACTGGTGGGCAGATAGAGAGGGCAGATGGGGTCTTCTCTGGTGGGGCCCAGGCCCTGCGGGAAATGACTGCGTGGGAGGGAGGAGCAACCATGCAGTTAAGAGCAAACAGTGAATTTCTAGCTCATTTTTTCAAAGTCAGTGTTATTTTTCTCCTGGATTTTGGCTGCTCACTGGGTTGTGGGTTTATTCACTATATGTCCACTCATCTCCCATTTCGTTTTGCTCTTACTTGTTTATCTGCTCCACAACTAAATTGGAATTTCCAGTTATTTACCAAGGACCACCCTCCCTGGATTCATATAATCATTGAGCAATTAGAGCTGAGGCTCTGTCTGTGCTATTTTCTTTTTTGTATTCATTGATTCATTCGTTTATCGATTTCTTAATGAATATTCACGAAATGTCTATCATTTACAAAGTTTTGTGTGAAATAGTGCAAAGAAGGGATGGATAATCTCGCCCGATCACAAGGTGCATAGGCTGTGGAGGAGAAACATGATGGAAACGGTGCTATGCAAAGTGAAGTATGCCTTGTGCATGGGGGTATTAGAAGCTCACGGAACGAGGAACCCCATTGACTTAAGTGTTCCGTGGAGAGGGTCCTGGTTGGGAAAAGGCAGACAGCAAAGTTGGTTCCTAACAGGTGGAGCTCAGAGTTGGGGACAGGACAGTCCAGGTCCAGGGACAAAAAGAAACAAACAAAAAAGAGGGCACAATGATAATGCAAGGAATTTGATTTTTGTCTTCCTCTGATTATCAGAAAGATTCAAACTTTATAAAAACCTCCAGGACCAGATACTTACTTTGAAGTGAATTTTGACTCTATATTCAACACCTTCCTTTAGCACAAAAGTTTCTTTTTTCAGGGCTTCCAGATCCCCTGTCGAAGTGGATTTAGAAAGAGTTAATTCTCCTCAGAAGGAGAGTCACAAGGAGACGAATGAAGTTTAAGCTCCAGAGCCATTTGCTGGGCTCCTCAGAGCAACATGGTTTTCGTGACCCACATTTCAAAGAGTATTTGAGATTAATGGCCGCACAAACATGCATTTGAAATGCGAGATACGAAAGAAATGTGCTAGAGCTTCTCCCCCAAGTTTGACTTCGACCCTAAGAATATGCAAGATGCTATGATGAAAGATTCTGTCCTACCTCTCAAATAAAGAAATATTAGACAAATACTACACAAGAGGACCAGCGGTTTGTTTTTGTAGATTTGTTAACATCTGTGGCATTTTCTAGTCTTTTAAAAACATACTCGTTCGGTTCCTTTTTATCATTCTAGATAAATATTCACTCTTGTACTTAATTTTGCCTTTGCGTTTGCAATTTAGTTTTATTTTCCTTAAGGAAAGTCACTTAAGGTGTAGAAGCTTCAGTCTCCATGAAGCTGGGATCTGTCCTTAATTCCTACACCCTGGTTAGAGAGGTAATTATTCTCTGTTCTTCTCCCAAAGTGATCCTGTATAATTTGACATTCGGGGTGATGTGTGTGTGTGTGTGTGTGTGTTGCACAGCCCTGTGCAGGTGCCTCATGCACAAGCTGGCATCCGTATCTCATGTATAGATCTTGGATTCACCTCAGTAGCTTTTTAGGTGACAGAAAACCAAATCTGGGTTTCTTGCTGCTGGGAAAGGGGCCAGAGACCAAGTTTTCCCTGCACTATCATCAAATGCTTCTGAACAGAACAGACTTCCTTCATGCTAATCCAGACCTCATCTGACAGTGGTACCTGGTAACGTCACACAGCTTCACACGGGAAGCGGTCTGAGTTTCTCTCCTGGAGAGATGCTAGGACGTGGGGGTGGTTGAGTTTGTGTGTCTGCTCTAGTGATTTCAGTTGAACAGGAAGTGCATCTTCTCAGCCTCCAGTTTCTTCCCGCTGACAGAGAGCCCATATAAGGTAAAGAGTGAATCTGTCCTGTGAGTGGGGAACCACCTTGCTGCCAAGCCTCCTGTTCGAGAGTCAGGCTTTGTTCTGTCTTGTGAGTCCATTTTTTGAATCTGGTAATAATTTTTTTTTCTTCACTGAAGACCTGCCTTTGATGCTTCCAAACTCTAGCTCTGTGGCCCTTCCCTCTTTCCTCTCAGTTGTCCATTTCCCTCAGAATAACCACCTTCCCAGCCTCTCGTTATCCCCTCAAGTCCCAAGTCTCAGGAAAGAACTTCACCCTTGTCAGAATAAAGTGAGAGCAAATAACATGTTGATTCATACATCTCTAGTGGGGAAAGTTGCTTATTTAAAAGAATCAGAGCTTTAAGCTAAAATAATGAATATCTAACAGTGGAATTCCCAGCATTATTCGGGAGGTCTTAGACCGTTTCTTGCCTTCAGGTAAGTTCTGTAGCTGATATGAGATCAATACTTTCTCTGAGGCTTAGCCTGTATAAATATTACAACTTCAGAGGCATACAGCTTGCTGGTTTCCATCAGCAGTCTTTTTATACAAGTGTTCACGTGGAGATAAAATCCTGAAGCACATATGATACAAGCTGATATACCCAGTACTAATGCCTGCCCCCTTTTCAATTAAACAGAGACAGAGGTTGGGTTTTCCATTAAGCCCGGTAAATACCGTGTGCTCTGTGACTGGTGAACTGGTCCCAGCATACCTCCCCGGAATTCACCTTCCCAGGGTTTTCCTTTGCTGGGATGAGGGAGGTTTTCCCAGTGATGCCATTAGGCCCCCGTGAATAGGAGAGACATGCCCACTCACCTGTGAGGTCCATGGTGATGGGTCCTGGGGCACTTTCACAAACCAGGGTAAGGCGGGTGACAGTGACATTGGGCGCTGTTGGGTCTGCAAGATGCAAAAGGGAAAGTAAGCACAGAGAAGAGACATGTACGTGCAGCGTGTGTGTACATTTCAAGTAGGAGAGGGACAATGTAAAGAGAAAAGGGACATCGCTGTCTGGAGGAGAAATAGAAATGGAAGAGCCAGGTTCACTGTGCTTGGTCTCAGTGGCCTTATAAACCACAGTGGGGCTACCTCTGCTTCAGGTACTGGTAAGTCCGTCTTAATCATCAACAGCAAACATGTCCCCAGTGGTCACAGGTAAGGTACTCCGCTGGTTGGGCACAGCCCATCCCTATATTGGGGCTATGTCTTAGTCTGCCAGTGTGTGTGTGTGTGTGTGTGTGTATGTGTGTAAGAGACAGAAGGTTAGGTAGCAAGTGAGAGGAGAAAGAGAAGAAAGAGGATGAGAGAGATCACGGAGAAAATGCACTTCTGAGTGGTCATCTGGAATTCTTTCCAAATCCTCAGTGTGTGTTATTTTTGTCTATTTCGTTGTCAGCTTGCACTTTATCTCCAAGGGGACCATCCGTTACTTGATTCCGCATGAGTAGACTGCACTTCACTCACGTAACTCTGGAAGCACTTGGTAAACTGAGAGGTATGCCTCCTGTGTGCCCCTCCACCTGCCCCCACCTCCGCACACACGCACCTGCTACCACAGGACCGTCCCCCAGGAGCGTCTTCTTGTACTTAATCAGACTTTCGTCATCTTTGTCCATCTCCTGCAGCTCCTTCAGGGACTTCTGAGGTGGAGGCTTGTAATTGAGTTTGCCGTCCACGTCATCGTCATCCTCCTCCAGGTGTGGTTCTGGGGCCTTTTCAGTCATTTTGGTCTAGAGAGAGAGAGCGAGACAGAGAATGATGGTCTAGTCACCAAAAGTCAATGATATGAACAATATTTGTGGGAATGCTGTCAGCATTATCTTTGCCCTAATGAGCTTCTCTAATTTCCAGTGATTTTCCAGGAGATTTCTTCCTAATTCAGCCTCACTCTTTCTCATAAAATAAGAATATAATGCATTCCAGTCCTTTCTCTGACATGCCCGAATTTTTCCATACTGTGATGAGTACCTCTGTTCACTGAATAACATGGACGGAAGAAGAACTCCTTTGTGAATTCTATGCTACAAGTGAGACAACATAGCACGAGCTGTCATAAATAATGAGCAAATACCCCCGGTTCATACAGTTATAGAAATGGTCCCGGTCCTCCAAATCCACCCAGCCTTGCCAGTGTCAAAGCATTCAGCGTGTACACTCCCAGTTGCGATGGTTTCAAGCACTTGCTGAAGGAACTTAGCTTTTCTCCCATTCATTGACTCGTTCTCTGAGCTCCTGCAAGAGCTCAAAGGTAACTCAGGAGGAGTTGTAGCCCCTGTGATATCTGCACGAGTGAGTCGGGTTTCCGCCCAACACTAACAATGCCTTGAGGACAGGTACTAGCTTCTGCATTTCTTTTGAATCTCCTGTAACACTTGAATAGCTCAGCCATTTTATAAGCATTCATTGATTGAGTTATTAGGTTCTATACTCCGTATCTAAAGATCTTCTGTTCTTTTGAAATGACACAAAATAGCCAAGGACTCTAAATTCCTCCAGACAAATTGTAACTATGTCCTTAATACCCCTCCGTCCACCTCCATTTCCCTTTTAGTACCTCCCTCCCCTCTCCAGATTCCTGTGACCTTATGCTCTAAGACCTCACCTGGGCATATCCTAGGGGCTGTCTTTTTCCATCATAAACTACATTTACTTGTTTTGTGTTAAAACGTTGAGGGAAGAGCTCAGAAAATCATTCACACTCAAGTGTTGATGACTGAATAATAAATTTCAAAATTACTCCTCTTAGGGCATGTATAGTCAGAGCTTTTCAGAGCTGAAATGAACCTTAGAAGTGATATGTTTCCAACCTCTCATTTAATCGTTGAGAAAATTGAAATCCAAAGGTTAAGAGAATTGCCCAAATTCACATAGCTGGATGAGATACAAAGTCCTAGGAAAGAGGAAGAAATTTCTACAGGAAGAATTTCAGGCCCCACAGCAGGCAGCCATGAAGCTATTTGGGGAAACAAGAGAGATCTTTGGGCAAGGAGATAATTTCCTGACTTCCTTTCATTCTATTCTGAGGATAATTCTCTTTCCTGCCTAGGGTAAAGACTTTATTTCTTTTAAGTGGCAGAACTATAAGACATCTGTCACATCGCATCCTAAGTGATTGCAAACCTCTATAATAAAGTCCCCTGAGAGTAAAGCTATCTCTGGCCAAAATCAGTGGTGGTTTTGAGTTTCAATGTCACTATTATTGGCAACAGGAAGAAAAATAATTTGGAAGTGAAGCCAAGCAAAAGCAATTTTAACAGAGAAAAAAAAAGAAGAAGAAAAGAAAAGTGCTATCTCTTGACTCATCAGTCCTCTTCCAGCAAAATAAGAAGCCAAACACTATGAGGCTTGGTCAACTCTGAAAACAGCGTTGCCCTGGCCAGGTCCACTCCCGGTTCAGGAAGGAAGCATGTAGGCCATTCCTATGGCAACTCTTGCTTCAGCTGAAGAGCCAGCACCACTCAGAGCTGAGCCCCTAGAGAACAGCACAGTAAACAAAGTGACTAACTCAACTCCTATTCCAGACAGCACTCAGGGAAAGTGAATGAACTGGTGGGAAAACAATGAAGGATGCAGTGGGTGGAGGGTGGAGGCTGTGGGTGCTTTAAGGACAACCATTAAGCAGCAGATAAAGAGCATCCCAGATGGGACAAATCAGATGAGACAGGTTCTCCTCTGGTGACATGGAGGAGCCTGACCGGGCACCCAGGGTAGAGGTCACGTAAGAAAACTGCCGACAGGCGTCAGGACAGCTATGTACAGATGCAGACGTCTCAGCCCCGATGGACAGGCCTCTGTGGAATTTACCACTTGGTTCTAACAAGTCGTATGCTTGAAGTCTGACCATCGGATGACATCACGCCCCGCCACCAATTAGCTCAAGGTGATTGTAATAACCTGAAGAGAACTGTCATTCTGTACCCTCAAATCTCAATTTTGAAAGGAGGGAGACAGAGACAGAGACAGAGAGAAGGAGAAAGATCTGGTCTAGCAGAGCATTTGCTAACCTCTAACAGTGTGATCACAGAGAAGTTAATTTATCTGTCATTTACACCTTGATTTTCTCATTAGTAAATCTGAGGCTTAAGTCAACTGCAAACTTCCTTGATTCACTGTAAACAATAATTGCTCTATAAAAATGAGCCACAAATTTATTTGATGACATTGAATGGTAGAGAGGATAATGTGGGATTGCTGTATGAAATTGTGGCAGTCTTAGAGGAGGAAATTCAGAACCACATTAATTTAATTTTGTCTAATTCTATAGCTTAAGAAAAAGAAATATGAGGTCAGATGACCCCACACCAGCTCACTCTGGAGCGCTGTTTAGAAAAAGATGAAAATGTCCTAATGTGGTAAATACAGGACTTCTCAGGGAAAGCCATTCTAAAGCAAAATTAAGGTCATGGATATTTGGTGAGCATCTACTGTTTTCAAGACATTGTACTTTAGCACATACTAATGTTGAAGTTACTCTCTAAAAGTGGGGAAAATCTTGGAGAACAGGCGATCTAGCCATGTTAAAGAGGCCTAACTGATTTGATTGATGGTTCTTACTCTTTTCGGAAATGATAGGTCTCTTTAAAAATCTGATTAGCATCATCGTTTTTACAAATGGAAAAAAGGAAAAGCCCATGAAACTGTACATGCAATACAGGGGTTCATGGACCCCTGAGGTCCCTCATAGACTTTACTGGAGTCCAAGATTAGCAACATGACCTTGAAACTGTAATTCTGGAAACATGAAGCAAGGCACTGAGTGCTCAAGAGGAAGTTTACTTCTCTCCCGGGGGCCCGGCCCCACCAGTGACACAAGTTAGCCTCCAGCCAAGGGTCACATCTGTGAACCCCAAACGCTGGATGTGCAGAAGCAGGAGGAGATGCCGGGTGGCACCAGTGCCTGAGGGAGCACGGCCACGAGGCCTGGCAGAAGAGCCGCCGTGCACAGGGGACGGCTCCTAGGAGCAGAGTCCTGCGGTCGTTCTACTCCCTTCTGGATGATTACCTCCTCACCGAAACGCGCCTCGTCACACACGGATGCTCATCGTGGCTTTGCTGCTAACCAGCTGTGACCCTGGGAACCAGGGTTCCAGCCGCTGTGATCTTCCTTTCCTCCTCCTGGGAGGTGAGGGGTTAATGCAGACCATCTCTAGGTGCGGTCCTTTCTCAGGCCTGTCTCTCCTGGCCTGCAGTCAGGGGTGTCAGCTTAATTGCCACTCAGTTCCCTTATCTCACTTGCATATATGGGAAACTACCTACCTCTGTTTTATTATTTCAAATGTATGCGAATTCCCCAAAGAGGCTGTGTTTTTCATTTCACCATTCATCTCTGGGGAGCTTCCAGTTCACTCAAAGTCCCAGCCATCAATGGGTGGTACACTTTGACAAAGATTTCCCCAACTGCATGTGTGTACGTTTAACTGTAAATGTTTCTACTTTTTATCCCCCTGTTTTATGGGCGCTTGCTGGAGTGAGAACAGGAATTTCATGGAAATCCCACAGAATATTTTCTAATCTCATCATCTAAAGAACAGCTGGTCCTGTTGAGACAGGAAGGGGGCAGAGCACAGCCATTCGAAAAATGATACTGCAATTAACATCGAACTGTGGAAGATTCAACCCCCAGGGGGCCTTGATGCTCAAGATGGTGGGAGATTTGACTTCTGGTAGACCTTGAGCTTCATTGTAATAAGTTAGCATGGTGAATAACATGCCTGTAGTGCCATGGCAGTCCCAAGGCTGGCCACAAAAGGTCAAAGAGTGGGAAACGTCCAACTTCCTGGGAATCCCAGCCCCTTCCCCAGGCTACTTAGACTGGTCCTTCCACTTATTAGCATATGAAGCCACCAAGCCCATAAAAACTGGCAACACAGTGCCTCTCGGCTGCTGCCTCTCTCTCTCTGTCTCTCTCCATCCGGAAATGGCCCGCACTCTGTCTATGGGGTGTGTACCTACTTTTACGCTAATCTGAACACCCAACCCCCTCACCTCGTGGCCTTTCTCTTGCCTTTCAAATGTATCTTTCTCAATAAATCTACCTTTACTCAACTGTGGCTGGCTCTTGAACTCTTTCCTTCCTGAAGCCAAGGACCCACACTTGGTAGGGCACGTCCCAGGGGCTCAACCGAAGCCTGGGACGCGGCCCTCCTCATGCCCCACATCCGTTTTTCCTGAATCACTATTACAGATAAGAATACCAGCAGTGGTCACACCCAGTGCTAGATTCTGTCATGAGGATTATCTCATTTAGCCCTGACTACAGCCCGAAGGACAGGCCTTATCATCAGTCTCTTCTACTGATCAGGAAATTAAAACTGAGGCAAGCAACTTGCCTAAGAAGACGTGTTGTGTAGGGGGCAGAATTCAGATCTCAGCCCAGGTGGTCTGAACTTCAGGCTTTACGCTCTGTGGCTCTGGCTGGGCTCTCTGGGCTGTCTTTATTAAGAAGTAATAATGAAATTAGAGAGCTCGCTGGTCACCTTAGGGAATCTACCCCCCCCCCCCCCCCCCCGGCCCATGCTCAGGCAGAGCTAAATGCTTCTTTGCAAAACTCTGCAGGGCAGCTTTAGCAAGTCAGGGAAGTGTCACATGAAAAGGGTTTCAGTGCAATTCAGCCCCGTGTCACATTGCGCAAGTCACAGAACCTCCCTCTGCTCGTTTTGTTCTCTGCAAAATGAAATTGGTGCATTGAAAGATCCCCGAGGCCCCTTCTGAATTCAGCGACCCTAATGCACCTTCATTTACAGAAAGCTGTGAGGTGAGAAAGGGAAAGAGGAAGTGGAGGTGAGGTCGGGGGAGAACCCAGCCCATCAGCATAGAACATTCTGGTTGGGCTCTTCTCGTCTTTCTCTGCAGCTCCCCACCTGTTTCACAAAGAGAAGGGTTGTTTGTTCGTTCCTTTGTATGTTGTTTTTAACTCTGGTTCCTTGCATAGTGAGAGTGAAAATCATCAATTATACATGTAATAAGGTTAGGGTGGACTCATTCAGCCCCGAAGCATGTACGCATTCTTCCCCCTTGTGCTTACCACACTAGTTTCCTCTATTTCCTGCTTCACAGATGCCTGCACAGATCAATCTTCCTACCCCCATGTCTGCTGCTCAGTGAACCACTGTCAAGCATTAGGTGAGCTGAGGCAGGAGCTTCATCTTCTCAGGCTCCATTAAAATGCCAGATTACATCAGGATGGGGACTCAGGGCATGGGAAGGGCAGCACAAAGCAGTGTTTTTCGCTTGCAACTTCGGTGAAATTTCCAAGACACTGGAAGTGAAATACATTCAAGAATTTACCGGTCTCAGAATAGAGCACCCTTGTCCAGTTCATTAATGGAGTTTCAAGAAAAGGTAGAACTCCCGAGTTTACATGAAACAAAAAACCTGGTTAACTCATAGAAAGGTGACCCTTTATGGCTCCTGGAATGTGAGCTCTGAATCTGATGGACCGGAGATACAAAATGTGCATCCCCAATTGAATTATGACAGGACTTAAGCAAGCTGTAAACGTCACTGAGCCCAAGTTCCTCCACCAGGAAAGTGAAAACAGTGATCTTCGGTCTTACAGGATTGAGGAGTTGGAGAAGACATGGCAAGGACGATACTGGCCAGCAGCAGATGTTTGGCAACTATGTATTCCTTTCCTCCCAGTCTTCCCTGGGCTGCTGTTTTGCTACAGCTTCAGCAAAGTGAGGTAGCACTGCCTGGGCTCCAGTGCTTTCCCTTGGATCTGCCGTGTTGACAACGTCCACGCCTGCCTTCTTAAAAATAGATTCTGTTTCCTTGAGGCATACGGAAGAGACACGAAGTTCTGGGAATCTCAAGGATTGTTTATTAACTGAATCAGCCTTCAACTGGGCCTGTCACTCTTCTATTTCTTTAAAAAGTTTCCACATGAGCAATATAATTTTAGATTCTATTTATTGCTCCCTGTCAGAAGTGAAGCCAGGGGTCACTCTGTGAGTGCTGGGAAATGATGGGAGACACAGGCACAGCTACGGGGGAGAATTCCCTCCGGCTCTGGAGCAGAACACGGCGCAGACTTAACCCACGCCCACAGTTGCCAGATCACACATCTAGACGCCTGGGGCTGGGGCGGTTAGGTTGTCAGATAGAAGAAGTAGAGCTGAGTGAGGGAGCGAGAGAAATGTGGAAGTGCCAGAAGGAGGGGGTTTCCATCAGAGAAGTACCTATGAAGCATCAGCATTCTCTGTCACTGTCACCTCTGACCCCGCTGACCAGGATGCGCCCCACCTTCCCCACATCTGGGGTCATGGCCCTACAGCAGGTCATAGAGAGTTGGGCCATCTCTGAAGGGCTGCCGGCATTTCAGAGCTAGTCCAGGACGAGCTTGGCTGCCTGCCTGCTGACCTGGCTCATGTGGGGACTCCAGGTTTACCCCCCTGGGACACCAGAGGCGGCCTTGGATGTGGCTCTCTCTCTGGTGTGTCAGTGTTCCTTAGTGACCCGGAGGAGTCGGGGCCTCCGGGGCCCCTCGGAGCAGCTCTCTACACCCCAGCCCCTTGAAGGACGTCTGAAACTGCAAAGCTGAATGAGAGGGACCATCTCAGTGCCCCGGAGGACAGTGTCTTGTTACATACACTGAACATTAAGATCAGTCCGGAAGAGGGTACAGATCTCTAGAAGCAGAATTCTTTAGCATTTCCCTTGGTGAGAGAAATAATACATCCTTCCTCACCTGGGCCTTCGTAGTACAATGGGCCTCCCGCTGATACCGAGGGCCCGCTGTACGGGACTTGGAGCATCCATGGATTTGGGTATCAAGGAGGAAGGGGGGTGCTCCTGGAACCAGTCCCCCATGGATACCCAGATTCATAGGCAATGAGAGAAAACTCAACGGACACAGGAAAATTCTCTGACCGTCCCCCGGGTGAAGTCACTGGGCTAGGTACTGTCATAAATATTTATTTTAAATAATCTTCAAAGAAAATTGCATTAAGGCAGCCACTTTTGGGCTAAAGACTACACTGCAATTACTCTGTCCATTCATAGGGTTTTAAATGAAGCATGAAAATTTAGACGAAAGTGAAGACAATCTTTTTGTGAGTTTAAGTGGTGACTATCAGCCCCTTTAAGAAAATCCAAGTGAATTTTTAACCAGCTCAGGTGATGGAAACCAGAGTGGGTAGGAATCAGCTGGCAGTGACTCCATCATTGCTTACAGACTGCATAAACGCTGTTGAAGTTTTGGGAGCAAGATGAAATGCATCGCTGGGTGTGCAGGGTGGCCTGCAATCCAGGATCCTGGGCGGAAGTAACACTTAGGAACAAGGATGCTCAGAATGTGGGGTGGAGGACGCTTTCTTCCGTGGGACATTTCCTAAAATGTCCTTGTGAAACACCGCTTCTATTCATTCCTTTTTGCAGCAGTGGGTGACTTTAGTCAAGTCATTTAACACCTCTGAGCCTTACTGTCCTCCGTGTGTCCTCTCAGGACTCTAACATGAGGCCTGACACACAGAAGGCCCTCCACGTAAGCTGGTTCTCTTTCTCTATCTGCTTAATTTTCACTCCCCAGGGCATCTCTCTTCCTGCCGGCTGAAGTTCATGATATATTGTGCTCCCACGGATTGGCCAAGGCCCCCATCTTTCCGTCAGTTTGACTTTGCTGAGCTTCCACAAAAACAAAACCTTGGTATGGCTCAGAGCACCCATCCCTGGGGACAAACTCATGCTCTCCCAAATAAAGCAAGACCAAATTCCTATGCCCGGAAGATGCCAGCCAGTCTTTGTTCGGCTGTGACCTGGTCATTCCACACACGCTGGGTCTGTGCAGTGCGGACGCAGAATGAATACTTGCCACATGTCTCAAGAAAGAATAAGATGATCTTGTTACTCTGTGTGTGTCCTATCTGGATTTAGGAGGGATCTTGGCTTATACATTTAATGAGACAAAGCAACGGCATAGATGAATGTTGGTTGCCTGGGACTGACCTCCCCGGGGCCAGCACAGACCAATCGATTTCCCTTGCTTGATCATTTCTGCACTGAGGATCCAACATGCTGATCCTGGACTCAGTGGTTCTTGGTCTCTATGTGAAGGGTGACTGGGATCTCTAGGTAAGAGCAGTCTGCTTTCCCCCACATTGAATAGAAGAACAGCTCACAGTTTATCCAGCCCATGGCACAAGTCACCCTAAGTCTCAAGTTAAATTTATAAAACATGCTGCCTGGGACATCCTCTAGAAAGGAAGAAAGTATTTCAGGTCATACCTAAAGCACTTCCCATGGCAGCAAATTCAAGACCTTGGCATTTTGAAAACCCACTGCCCAGGTGTCCTAGCTGGGCCCACTTGGATTTTTCTAGAACGTATCTCTTAATAAATCGTTCGGTGTCTCCTGGCTTGCTTTGAGTTCTATCAGATATAAAGAGCTATTCTGTGGCAACAACAGCACTTATTTTTCTGCCCATCTCACCGCGGGGATTTAATACATGGCTTTTGTAAGTGGAAGAAATGCTGTCCCTGTACGACGGATGAGTAAGTAGCAGTGTCGTCCTTCCCCCTTGACGGTTAAATCTCACTGTAGCCTAAGGGAGGTGTTCATTGTGCATTTCTCTTCTATCACCAGAAAATTCTTCATTGGAAAACAGTTTAATATTTGACAATTTTGAACCCATTTTTTTTTCTTTTTGAACCAGTCTCTTTACGTCTGCTTAAAAACAGGAAACCACATATCTCCACCCCAGTACCAACTCACCATCAACCAACGCATTTCTTATCAGTTTGGATCTACAGTCTGTTTGCTTCTAAGCCTGGTCATATGCCTGCTCCGACCTTGTAGGAAACCGCCCAGGCACTCCCCGGAGTTACAGCCCTTGTCAGGACATCCAGGACTTCATCTCCTGGGCTGGAGCGCACACCCTCCCTCACCAAGCTGTGTCCCCTGAGTCATCACCACCGTTCCCTGCCCTGACTTCCCCTTCTATGCAGCCTCCTCAGTGCTGTCTTATCATAAAGTTTGCTTTAAAGAAGCAAAGCCCCTCAAAGAAAAAAAGCAAACCCTATAGAAGGCTGTAGTCTCGTTTAGAGATTTCCTACACTTCTCTGGGCTCACCTGCAGCCTCCCCCGTCCCAAAGGGATTTCAACTTACATTCAGTGGTTCACGGCTCTGTCCGGGGTGCCTCTGTCTCTCAAGTCTGACTTCTGAGTACTGGCAGTTAGAACAGGAAGGAAGTTGTGAGGGAAAAAAAAAAGTTTTAAACCTACTTGCAGAGGAAACCCTGGGCTGTCTCAAATCCTGTTTCTCTGCACTGCGTATCTCTTGATCAGTCAACTCCGAGCAGCATTCTAGACAATTAGTGGCACATGTCAGAGCATGACCGCCTATGTGAATACGGATATACATTAGTGTTCAGACAAAGGTCTGGGCTTATAGCCATGAAGGCTATCAGTTGTGTGGATATGTCTAAAAATCAAGTCATCTCAGTGCATACACTTCTGAGGCAAGTAATCTAAAACCAGTAGCAAAAAAAATGCAATAGGCCTTACTTTATATCACTAAATTCTGTTCCTACGAGGCCACTGCCAACTTCCTTATCAGCCAGATATGCTGAAATATGCTGGCACTAAATGTAGGGTGCTAAGAAATTATGAATGTTAATTACATGTACTTGGCCCCCAACTTGAAAATTATTCATCAAATAGATTTTTAGAGTTTTATTGGTCGTAATTTCAAGAGGTAGCTTGTATGCAGCACAAACAGTCAAATGTTATTTATTGTAGTTTTCACTAATTTTTTTTTTAATTAGAAAAAGCCAAGGCACTGTTCTGATTAAACCTAGGAATGCAGATTACAAAATAAGATAAAACTTCATTAATTCATGGTCTTCTAACTCAGAACTGGTTAGAATTTAACAAGTGCTGACATTGACTTTGTACCACATTTGAGGAAATGGTTTGTGAAGTAATTTAAATGGGAACAAATGCAGAGGCCGCTTTTAAATCATTTGAGGGAACAAACAGTTTCTAAAGCACCCAAGCCACATTTACACCGTACATTTCCATAGCTGCTGCCAATAACAAATGCTTATTTATACTAATATTTCAATATTCACCATTTACATTAGTATTTACATTGTCTCAACATGTTTAGAACTGATTATGCAACTATATGTGGAGAGACTGACATTTATTTTATTGTCATTTAAGTGTGGTGCATTTATTGTATTGTAAATTTAAATGTAGTGAATTTTGTTCACTTCATTTTGTAAGTTGATGTAAGTTGATGGCTGGAGTTCACACTGCACATCACAGCTAGATCTTATCCTTAGTCCATGGAACTGACATAATCAAGAGGATGGTGGGCATTTGGTGGGACTAAAGAGTCTGACCTAGAAAAATACAAAAAAAAAAAGTATAGATTTAAAATTAGTAAAAGTGCTGAAAACCAAATACAGATTTAGTCTATACATTTCAAAATGATGTTAGAAGATAGCTTTTGAAAAACAGGAATCTGACCATATTATAAATAAAACCAAATGTTAATTCTCACAAAAGACAGTAAATTTTGTAGTTCAGTACTCTCAAAAAGGGACACATTTCTCCTTTCACTAATATTTGTGGAGCACATCATTTCTTCAAGGTACTGTTCTAGACACAGGCATCTAGATACACTGTATGCAAATACGGTTTCTAGATAGAGCAGTAGACAACAGGCAAAATCTCTGCCGTCTTGTGGAACTAATAACATAGGGAAGACAGATAATTAAAAATCAGATCAGTAGAATGAATTATTTGGAACAAGAAGGATTCAAAAATTGGGAATGGTTAAGTCATGTTTTATGTACTCATTTCTCATACCATTAGGGAAGACATCACTAGTCAACTGGCAATTTTTTTCTGCTGAACCCAATGTAACCTCACAATTTTTCTTCATGCGCTGCTTTAGGCGTGGACATTGGAAGGCATGGAAGCCCCTAAAATGTCTGTGAAGTCAGCATGTTTGTGTGCTGTATGTGTCTATTGCAGGAGGGGAGAGTATTCCTAACTTTCATCAGATTCTCAAAGGGGTCCCTGATCTCAAAAGAAGTTAGGGTTGCTAATTTATAGCCTCTTCTGGATGATGTAATGATGGACTTTCAGTAAGTTGGAGAACAATTGGCAGAATCTCTGAAAATACCTTTCAGCATCACAGGCAGGACAGGGATCTTCTGGAAAGTACCATTCCTCATTTCCTTCTGTTGCAGTTCATTGTTCACATGCATTTTTATCTGATGGGAAAACTGAGATTAAGAGCTCCTTAAAGAAGATTACAATGGCAGACACCCCACTTCCAGCCCACGCTGACAAAGTAGTGCTGTGTACCAAGGCCCCTTCTCCATCCCTGAGCTTCTGCAAGTCTAAGAATATGCCTGTCATGGTGGGGAGAAGGACCTTAGTCCGGTAATGCCAAATGAAATCAGCAGAACTTGGAAATCTCCATAGGCTTTTCCAGAAAAATGACCAAATGTTTGCAGTTATTTTTCAGCTTTTCTTTGGTGTTACGAGGATGCAACAGAAAGGTAAATTCTAGGCAAGCTTCCCATGGTACTTGTGCCATGAGCTTGAGAAAGTAACCAATGACTGCAGACTGTTGAGACTTCCCATTTCTGCAAAGAGATCTTTCTTGGAGGCGACAAGTAGGGACAGTAAAATCTCAGGGAAGGCTTTCTGCCCTAAGGATTATCCGTTCTGTAATGTGTCCATGCGGCACTAACAGCAGCCAGGGGAGGAGGGGAGAGCTACCCTTCAGGTGGATATCCTGGCTCTGTCCCTTCCTGTCCCTCTGCCCTTAGGACAACGGTTTTATTTCTCGGAGCCTTAGTTTTCTCTTCTGTAAAAGAAGAATGATATCAACCTTCAGCGTTGCTGGAAGGGTTGGAAAGAATGTGTGAGGAGTCGTCTTGCAGAATCCCTTCCTCAGAGTAAGTGCCCAATGAATGGTCCAGGTTAAGAAAATCATCACCGTCATCGTTTCTCCATCCCATTTCGATCCTTAATACTGCAGAGTAAATATTAGAATAACTAGAAAAGAGTCGCTTTCATCTCAGTGCTTATAATCAGCTTGCAGGTGTATCCAGTATTACCTCTTTCTTCTCTGAACTTTTCCACCGCTGATCCACAACAAGCGTGTTATTTTTTTCTGAATTCCTAGAGCGTGCATTGTTCATAAAATATAACTTAGTACTTTGGTAGACACTGTCGTGTATTATTTAGTGATTATTTTATGAATATTAGTCTTATTTCTCCACCCAAATATAAGATGCATGAGAGACGGGCTATGTCTTACATGTCTTGTCTTCTTTGGAGTGCCCAGAATAAGACTTGACTAAATCGGACCAGAATTTGAGCAGAGTTCTTTAGTAGAAATGTCTCTAGCTAAATTAGACAGAAATGCCTACATTTTGCCCCCTACTCCATCTTTTTCTTGTGGTGAGGGTGTTGCCTTGGGGAAGACGAATGTGAGAATGGTCACGTGTTCACAAGGGTCACTGAGACCAACTTTTCTTTTTCTTCCTTTCATATATATATGTGTACATATATATGTGTGTGTGTGCGTGTGTGTATATATATATATTTATATATAACATTTTAACTACGTTATGCAGGATTTCATAGCCTTAGCATAAAGGCTCATTTCTTAACTCAACAAACCCTTAATCATTCCCAGTTACACCAGCACCAGTGCATGGGTACAGAGATAACCAAGACACAGTCCTAGGCCTCAAGGTGCCAACGATGTAATGGGGGAAGGCAGAGATAAACAGATGTAAAACTTCAGGTGATCTTAGGAAAGCAGTAGACATGGGGTATTATGGGAGCACTAAGTGAAGACATCAAAGAAGACTTCTTGAAGGAACTGACTACAGCGCTCAGTCTCAAAGGACAGTAGATACTGGGTGCTTGACATGGGGAGGGTTGGAAGTGGAAGAGAAGGCATTTGAGAAAATGAGAAGCATGAGCAGAGGCATGGCATCCTAAAACAATGTGGCGCATGCAGAGGACTGCAAGGAAGCAGCGCAGGGTGGCTGGACTTCACACTGCACATCACAGAAGGATGAGGAGTGTGCCCGGAGCGGGGCAGGTACAGAGCCCAGATCACAGTGAACCCTTTAGGCTATGCAGACAAAGAACTTGGCCTTGATCCTGTCAGTGATTCGGAGCCATTGACAGTGAAAGAGAAGGACACGGATGGTTCTGTGTTTTACTTCTCGGTTAACTCTGGTGGCTGCGTGGAGGGATCTGATGGGAACAAGACCAGTTTGGAGACCATTCAGCCCTGAACTAGAGCACTCATAACAGAGATAGACAGATGTGGTCAGACTGGAGAAATACTTAGGGGAAACTGGCATGACGTGGGGATTGATGAGATGTGAAGGATGATGGTGAGGAGGAAGGAGGGATCACAGATGACTTATGGGTTTCTTGCTAGAATGAGTGGGTCCTTGGTGGGAACACCAACGTAGATAGAGAATACCACAGAAGAAACAGGTATTGTGGGACATAATGACTTGAGTTTGGACGTGTTGGGTGTTAAGTTTGAAAACCCCTGTGTCATTTCTAGGAAGTGATTTCTGACAGACAGTAAGTTATAATAAGCCTGGATTTCAACCTTACACCAATGACACGTACTTCATCAGGCTGTGGGCAGTAGTTTAAACCAGGTTACCCAAAGTGCGGCCTGTGGATCAGCAGATCAGCCTCACCCAGGGATGTGTCAGAAATGCAGATTCGTAGGCCCACCTTCAGACCTGCTATTTCAGAATCTCTGAGGTTGGTGCCAGGAAACCATTTTAAAAAACTCTGCAGGTGAATTATAAAACTTGAGAAACACTGGGTTAAACTCCATAAATGCATGAGGTCACCCGTTGCTGAACTCATTATTAGTTACGGGAGGGCTTTAAAACACAGATTCCTTAGGATTTTCTGTGGAGATAATCATGCCATCTGTGAAGGTTTTTTTCCCTTCATTTCCTGTCTTTATGGTATCTGTTTTTTTTTAATGCCTGATTGGCCAGAAATTTCAGTGCCATGTTGGTAAGTGATGAGAGCAGACAGCTTCGACTCGTTCCTGATCTGAGAGAGAAAACATTCAGTTCTTCACAATTAAATATGATATTAACGGTAGGGATTTTTTGCAGAAACTCTTGATTAATTTCCCTCTATTTCTAGTTTGTTGAGAGTTTTTATCACGAATGGATGCTGGATTTTGTGAGATGCTTTTTCTGCCTGTTAATATAACCATATAATTTTTCTTCTTTAGTCTGTC